GGATGGCGAGCCTGTTGGTGTTTGAGTGAGCGGTGCTGTCACTGTCAGTCAAGGGGGGGCGTGCTTCCCTTCCCCCCAGTACCACGTGAGCAGGATGCAAAGGGTCCAGGGTGGCTGGTGCCCCGGAGCTGGGCGGCGGGGCCACCCCAACCAGGGCCCGTCTTCTGAGCCACCCTATGCCCAGCATCTGGAGCCATGCAGGGTGCGCGGGGCGGCTCCATCAGTGCGGAATGGGTGCTGTTGAGTGGCAGCCCGTTCATCTGTTCTTGTCTTGGGCATTGTCTTTTCTTGTTCCTTTGTAGGTATTGTTTATATGTTGCTTTCCATCCTGTTTCTTCCTGTGTTACAGAAGTTAGATTCCAGTCCATCGTTTGTCTTTTTATTTTATTTATTTATTTAGAGACAGACCCTCACTCTGTCACCCAGGCTGGACATCCTCCACCTCCTGGGTTCAGGTGATTCTCCTGCCTCAGTCTCCCGAGTAGCTGAGACTATAGCTGCCGCCACTACACCCGGCTAATTTTTATATTTTAGTAGAGACGGGGTTTCATCATGTTGGTCAGGCTGGTCTCGAACTCCTGACCTCAGGTGATCCACCAGCCTCGGCCTCCCAAAGTACTGGGGTTGCAGGCGTGAGCCATTGCGTCCAGCCAGAATTATCTTTTTATTTTTACCGAAGTAAATAAACGCACATTCATCATGGACCCCACGATGTTCATGACAGGAAAGCAGCCGTCCCTGCCTCCGCCTGCGCCATTACAGCGTATGTCACGCTCACAGCAGAACCGCAGAGTGCACCCTGGCTGCATCTTTCTGGTAGAAATTTTTCCGGAAGTTGATCATTTTCTTATTTGCCTAGGGTCGCACCTGCCTGTTATTAAATCAGGCCCACAGTTCAGCAGACCTAGGAGACTCTCCACCAAACAGCCAGGCACCGCAAGCCGCCTGGTGGTTCCGGCCGCACTTCCCGGTGTGTCTGGACGGTCTGCTCTCCTGGCCTGGCCCCCGCCTCCTTCCCGGGGCTCCACGGCCTCTGTAGCCTCGCTCTACAGCCTCCTTTGTGCTTGCTTTCCTTCACCATTGTGGTCATGCCTGTCTTCCATCGGCTCTTGAAGAAATCGTGCATGGAACATGAGTTTCTGGGAGTCCTCCTTTGCGGGTAAAGGAGGACTCTTTATTCTGTTGTACTCTTGGCTGATAAGTTGATTGTGGACAGAAGTTATTACCTGCAGGGTTTTCAGGCCATCGTCTTGCCCTCAAAGTGGCTGTCGCCGAGTCCAAAACTTCTCAAGGCCGTGCCTTTGTCCCCAGAGCTCTGGGGCAGTTTGGGATCCTGCAGGTGGGGGCTTCTCGGCCTCCGTGTCCAGCTCCTCTTCGGCGGAGGGTAGGTCTGGAGTTTGCTGGTGATTTTCTCCACCCTGCTGATTCTCTCCTCTCCTGGCGTTTACCGTATTTGTTGTAGGACCTTTTCGCTCCCATTTTTCATCACTCCCCCTTCTGACAATTCTCCACTTTTTCTCCAGTCCCTTCCTGCAGCACTTTAGTTTTGTCCTCTTGGCTTTATCCTCTTTATTTTTTCCTTTGCTGTCACTTTAGGATTTCAGGGAAGGGCAGCGGGAAGCAGGTGCCTCCTTCTCTCTCCAGCTCCGCCCGCGTGCCTCGTTCCCAAGGCAATGTTCTGCGCATTCTCTGCTGCCAAATCAGCGGGTTCTTTTCTCGCTGGCTCCTGGACATTGCATCAGGCCAGCACAGAAATCACCCTCCACACTCATGCCAGGTGCACACATGTCCCCTCTAAACCCGGCTGCTAAACGGTTAAAGCATTTGGCTCCGAGAGCCACCTCACCTGCAGCTGACTCTCAGGCCCACAGTTTAAGTTGGGAAGAGCGAACCTGTGTCCCAGTCAGAACTGCTTCTGGCAGAAGGATGGAGGCAGCTGCTAGGCATTGTTCTGAATTTTAAGCTTGTGATTGGAGTGTTGTATCTGCCTTAATTAGTAATTTACTTGATTGGCTTCAGGAGAAGTGATCCCACCTGCCCCGTGTTCCCTGCGGAGCACACGCTGCATTTGGAAGTGCAGTTGGCGTCCTTCCTGCCCTCACCTGTGCTTGGTGGGATCGACTCTCCCACAAGGCCTCCGGCCTGATGCTTCAGTTCTGTCACTGGCCCTGCAGCCCTGTTGGGTGGAATCTGATTCCTGCAGTTCCTCTGCCTGGCAACGTTGTGTCTGGAATGCGCTGAAGGCCTGCAAGGGCGGTGAGGGGCTGCTGCAGCGGGCCGGTGCACGTGCGGCCTCGGCCCCCACCTTGCCAGGTGCTGGCTTACCTGCATCCTCCGCTTTGGTTGCCTTTGGGAGAATGACCGGAGTTACAGACATTGTGCAAGCTTTAAGACACATGCATTGGAATGGCTGAAACTGTAGGTCACTATGTCTTCTCTTAAGTCAATCTAGGAGACTCCTGGACTGGAAGGAATGAGGGAGGGCAGGAAGCAGGAAGGCTGGCCACCCTGAAAGCAGCAGTGAGACGGGCCTCATGGTGTGCAGCTCCCTCGGCTGCCTTCCAGACCTCGGCGCTGCTCAGTCCTCCCCAGGAAGGCCGCTGCATGTGCCCTGGGCGGTCTCCGGCATCCCCCTTCTCTCCAGGCCACGTGCTGCTGCTCAGCCCCTCCCCTAGCCCTGCATCTGAAACTGCTTATCTATAGGTTCCTCAGGGAAGTCAAAGTGCTGAATAGCCCACGGGGCAGGGACGAGTGGAGGGCCCCAGCCTCAAGCCATGCTGTCCCCAGCACTGCTGGAATGGTGTCCTGGAGCCTCCTGGTCAGGCGCAGCCACCCTGCAAGCAGAGCCAACCCGGGACACACAGTCAGCTAGAATCAGGGAGGCCAGGCAGGTGTGCAGGCTGGGAGGCAGAGGGTACGCAGGTGAGGGGACAGAAGGATTCCAGGTGGTGGAAAGGCAGCTGTGAGGAAGACAGGGCAGTGGCACTGTGATGGGGTCGGTGGGGCTGTCGGGGGTCAGGTCAGCCTTGGGAGGGGTGTGGAGCAGAGGTCTGTGGGAGGGGAGGGGAGGGGCGAGGCAGCTGCTGTGGGACTCTCCGCACAAGGAGTCTGGGGTCCCCAGCGGGGCTGTGGAGGATCTGCCCGACTGATGACCTGGTGGTGCCGTGATGAACCCCTCAGGGGCTGGGGGAGGCCGTGCACCAGGCCAGCACAGCCAGTCCTCGGCGGCCTGGAGTGACCGTGTCACGCTCGCCTCCCGATGCTCTGTGTCGAGGGCAGCCACCAAGGAAGGCCTTTCACACAGACCAGGGACCCTGTGCTCTTCTGTGGGCACACACAGCCCCTGCCTCAGAAGTGGCTCCTGCCCACCATCAGCAGCTCCTGTCCCAGGCCTGGCAGATCCCTGCAGAGCCCACGTGGGTTTCTGTGGAGATAGGGTGGTGGGAGAAGAGGTATTTTCTTGCCTGGTCGTCAGATGGGTTTTCTGGCTTGGCTTTGTTTTGTTTTGTTTGTTAAATAATGGCTAGAAACCTAATGTGGAAATAGAAGTAGACTGCTTTCCTCGGTCGGTTGTGTGAGGTACAGAAATGTGTCCTGGTCTATAGCCTGTGGAGAGGCCGGCTTGTGGCTGAATCCATCATCTGTCATCATCTGGGTGCCCTGGGCCACAGCACAGAGGCCTGGCTCCCTGCAGAGCGGGCTGAGGCAGCTTCTCACAGCGCATCTTTGGTTTCTCCGGGAAGCCTGATTCGGGAGCTTGCTTCTCCCACGTCTTCCCAAGACCTGCAGAACACCCATCCCTGACTCAAAGCCCAAAGTGGAGACAGCCTGGGGCTGCCTGCATGTCCCAAAGAGTGAAGTCACACGGGGTCTGGTCCCCATTACCCAGCCCATGTCAGTCCTGCTTCCAGGAGAAAGTCCATCTCATTTCTTGCTCTGGAAGCAGTGAACTTACTGCCCCAGAAAGACTAAGGAAAGCAGAAGTGCTGCGTCTTTACAAAAGAGGTAGAATCTCACCGATTTGCAAATCTACAAGTGGTAGAATCTTGAAAATAGCCAAGCGAAAGCTCAGACCTCAAAGGCTCCTGTGACAGCCGTCTCCGCAGGGGTATTCTTGCCGCTGTTCTGGACTCTGAAAGCCGGTAGCCTCTCCCAGGCAGCTTTGGGGATTTCTCTGCCTCTGCTTGCTGCCCATTAGATCCCTGCTGCTTCCCAAGGCAGGCCCCACCCCAGAGGTTTGGGTTCCAGATGCAGATGAGTTGGGGACTATGGTGGGCTGGAAGGTGCAGATTGCCACACGGCTCTGTCCACACAGGCAGAGCTGTCCACGGAAACCAAACCATCCCCAGTACCTGCCCCCTGTGGCCAGGTCAAAGGCGTAGCTGGCGCAGGTGTTGGGATGGGCTCTGCGGAGCCTCACCAGGTGGGGGTGGGACAGCAGCCCCGCGCTCTGGAGGCCTCACTGACTGATATAGCCGGAGCGATGCACAGGTGAGCAAGAGAGCGTGCAGCTTAGACGTCAGCCTCACATCCCTGGGCCAAGGCCCTCATCCCTGTTTGTCAGGCTTTCTCTGATGTTACAGCAGCACAGCTATAAAGTTAGGGGCAAATTGTCTAGAAGAGCATTCGTTACGAGACATCGCCATTGACTTCACACCTCACCAGCCTCCTGCCACACCCAGTAAATCAGGTGGTCAGTCATGTTCCCATCTGCTGGTAAAGGCAGTAGTGGCAGGATTCTGTGAAGACACCACCAGCGCTTGTATACTGCTGTGGCCGCAGAAATGCACCCAAAGCACCAGAGCCATTGTACTGGTTCTGTGGGACTGAGGAGCAGAGGTGGGGTCCCCTGCATCCGGTGTTCCCTTTGCTCTCCACTGCAGCAGCACGGCAGCATTGAGTGACTGTATTTACCAGTGTGCGTATGCTTGAGCACCCCCAGGGTCACTTGGAGCCCAGTGGTGTCTGCCTGGCTGTAATGACATCTCCTTTTCGTGCAGCTTCTGAACCGAATCTGAAATTACGGTCCAGGCTAAAGCAGAAAGTGGCCGAAAGACGGAGCAGCCCCCTGTTACGCAGGAAAGACGGGCCAGTGGTCACTGCTCTAAAAAAGCGTCCGTTGGATGTCACAGGTATGTCAGCCGAGCAGGTACACCGCCCCGCTGCCCTCTCCGCCAGGCCTTAACTGCCAGAGGCGGTTTCTCTCTGGAGCCTCTGAAAACCCATGTGTCTTCCTGACGCTGTCAACCCCCAGTGTGCTTCTGTTCCTGTGGCGCTGGAAGTGCCAGGCCCAGGGGACCAGGCTTGGTGACTCCTGCGTGTCTAGGCCAGGCCCTGCCCCCAGCGTCAGTGACTCAGAGCTGGTTCAAGTGGGACGCAGGTGCATGAGGGTGCCCGGCTTGGCGCTGCAGGAGATGCATTCAGGAGCTTAAGTGGAGGCTTCTCTGAAGGCGGGTCCTTGTAGTGGTGAATCTCACGTCCCGCCCTGTCCTCTGCTGCCCCTGACCAGGGTCTGAACCAGCATTTTCACATCTTCCCACGCCAGAGCACCCATCAACCCGGCAGAGGGAAAAACAGCAGGCAGTGAGGTTGCTCCAGCTTGGCCCTAGCGACGGGTCTCGGTTGGCCCCATCTAGTTGTGGACACGCGGAAGGACAAGACTGGGCAGAGCCCCATCCTGAGGGTGCACCCACCCCTCTTGAGTGCACACCCCCCCATCCAGAGGACCAGCCACCACAAGGGCATACCCCCTCGCTCCACTGCTCCTGAAATCATTGCACCAGGATAAAGGGGCTGCCTGGGGATGGCCTGGAAAGAGGGGAGGCGGTGGATATGTTTGCACAACAGAGACAGTGGATTTGAAGGCCAAGGCTCAGGGTGGCTGGTCTGTGAAAGACGTGGTTCCACTGGGCAAGCTGCTGACCTGGGGAAGGCTGGGGGGCTCCTGGTGCTGTGCCCTGTGTGTGTGAGCGTTGGCATTGTACACAGACTCTGCTTTGGCAGTGAGATGAGAGAAGCCCTGGCCCTAAACAACAGGGCCCTGCCCGTGCCTGGTGCCCCACCCTCCTCTACTTCAGGGGGTCTTAGCCCCAGGCTAAAGGTCTGGTTGTGGGTACTTGTGGATTTGCATTAGAAAGTGTCTGACACCTCCATGCCCAGGGGGATCTCCGTATTTGTCGTTTCTCATGTCGCTTCTTTCCTCTGGCCATGGTAGTACAGACCTTGTATGTTTCGCCAAGTCTAACTGACAGGAGGGACTCAGTTCGAATGAGGAGTCACATGAGTTACAAACTTTTGAACACCATTGCAGCCTCATTTCCTGAGAGCAGTGTCTCGCTTGGTCGGCTCTAATGGACATGTGAACCTTGGCGGTGTTTTTTTGAAGTGTGCAGTGGGTGAGACGGAGCCGTCAGCAACCTTCTTCTGAGTGTTAAAGCCAGTGTTCCCGGTGTCAGCCAGTGACTGCCGAGTGCTGTTTGTGAGTCAGCGCTGGGCCGGACACAAAAATAGTGCAACAGAGTCCTTGCCTGGAAGGAGCTTGTGATCTAATTTGAGCACACCGCAGATCACACGCTAGGCCGCCCAGGAATCACACGTGACAGGGCCTGGTCAGTGCTGAGCCGTGTCATAGAGCCCGTGAGGCCGTCCAGGAGTCACGCGCGACAGGGCCTGCTGGTCAGTGCTGAGCCGTGGCATAGAGCCCGTGCTGAGGGACCGAGGGGCTGAGAGATCAGTACAAGCCCCTCTGAGCCAGCACAGCTCTGCCAAAGGTGGCATTTGTGCTGGGACTTGGCGGATGAGTGGCGCAGGGGCAGAGAGGCAGAGGGTTGTGTGTCTCCTGACCCACACAGGCACAGCACCAGGGAGCTGCCGCAATGGGGAGGCTGCTCTGAGTGGAGCCAATTTCCAGAAGGCAGGGATTAGGGGTTCTAGGCGGGGCGGCCTGGACGGAGCAGTGGAGGCAGTCACAGTTCTTGGCAGAAAAGAAAGCCAGGTCGGTATTTTGCTTCTTCTCAGTCACTGATTAAATTGGTGTCTACATAGAGCACAGAGAAGAAAATGCGTGCCCATACGTGCACTGTCCGGAAGGACTCTTGCCCCTTCTGCATGCTCCCCTGCAGCCCGCGCCCTGCGCCTCTTCCCCCCTCCGCAGCCTGCGCTCTGGGCCTCTTCCGCCCCTCAAAGCCTGCGCTGTTTCTCCCCCCACCCCCGCAGCCCGCGCTCTGCGCCGCCTCACGCAGCTGAGCTCTCAGCCTCTTCCTGCGCCATCGTGCCTCCTTCTCCACTCGATGTCAGCCACACACATTTTGTGGCACCTCTAATGGTGTTCCCATTTTGCTGATCTAAATAATACTATGAAGACTGTGCATTTATACTAATTTTGTTAGACCTATTCCTGGAAGTAGAATGCAAAATAATAATAACCTCAATGAGTTAAAAGTGGGTAGAAAGTTAGATGTGTAATTTTTACTGCCCCAAAAAGTTGTCTTGGCCCCCTAGGCACATGCGTGATGGTGTTTTTCCGATGGCACAGCTAGGAGGAGCCCATTTCAAGGAAGATTTGCTGGATCTTGGTGTGTAGCTGGAGACAGGCTGACAGCAGAGAGCAGGGGTCTAGGGCGGCCATGCTACCCACACGTGCGGCCGAGGTGGGAGCGCCGGGGGCCTGGACAAGGCGGGTCCTGCTTTCTTGAGTGAAATGCAAACACCAGCTTAGCACAGGCGGCGTTCTCAGAATGCCCACTCACCGTGCAGATAAACATGGCCTTGGCAGCCAGAGAAGCCGATCTCTGGATTTAGTGTCTGGTGGAAGTGAGGTGAGAGGGACAGAGAGAGAAAGAGGAGGGGACAGGGCGGGACCCAGTCCTGTGTTGGTGATCCGTGCCCGGGACAGGGAGCTAACCCCTCACTCATTTGAGCTGCAGGAGCCATGAGAAGCAGCTGGAGTAGGGCTTCTGGGTGGACACAGTGGCTTGCCCCTGGGAGGTTTAGACTGCCCAGCTGTTGAGGCCAACATGTACCCAAGATGGTCCTGGGGGGCGGCGTGGGTGACAGAGGAGGCGAGCCTTCGCCGTCCAGCTGGGTTAACTCAGGTGTGCAGACGCCCTTCACAGCTCCCTCAAGTCACATGGCCTGGACGAGTGAGGTTGCTGCTTTGTGCCTCGGTCTCCTCTTCTGTGCAACGCGGTCATGATGGCACCTTTCTCGTGCAGTGAGTGAGGGATGGATGAGCTAATACAGGCAGAGTCTGGAATCAGGTCTGCCAGGCTGGGGGAGCTGTGGGTGGCTTTTCCTGTTCCCCCGCCCTCCTCATCCTGCTCACTGCAGCTTGGGCTGTATTTGTCCAGTCGTCACCTCCAGCCTGTGTGAGTACCACGTCAGACAGCACGAGTGGGCACCTGCACCTTCATGGGCTTCAGGGACCTGGGCAGCCAGCAGACCGTGGAGGAGGCTATGCTTGGGGCAGCTCCAGTGAGCGGCTGCTTGGGGAAAACACCCCTAAACCTCCCCTTCAGTGTCCCCACGTGCCCCTTCCTTCTGACCTGCACATGCTGGGCAAGTCTGGGGTGGGGGTGAGGTTCTGAGCCCCCCAAGTCATGGCCGAACAGTAGACTCCTAGAGTTTTTGAGGCAAATAGGTCATGTTGTGTTTTCTTTGGAAAGCCTTAACCAGATGATGCCATTGTTAAAAATGCCGTTAAACTAAACATATGAGAAGCCAGATGAGTCCTTGTGTGACTATTGAGAGCTGCAGTGGCCTCCCACAGTGGGTGTGTATGCCCGAAATAGCAGCAGGCTCCTTCAGAGTTGAAGGGACCTTTGGATTGGACGTGGCTGCTTTTGGAAGTCACATTCAGTCGGAGCGGAATCTGGTCTCATTAACCAGGGTCAAGCCACCCGTATGGATAAGGGTCCTCTAAGACTGTCCGAGCGTGCGTTTCCAGTAGCACTGATGGATCCCAGGAGACACCAGCTCTGTTTTCCCCTGATGCTTGCTACGGTGCAGGGAGATGAGAGGGTTCGACTCAGCAGTCACGCGGTAGGCTGCTTTATTCTGAACTGAGCTTTTGGTAGTGGCACAGGAAAGTTGACCTTTTGCTTTTCCAGATCACTCAGCTTCTGCATTTCCTGGTCTTCTGTGGTTAGGTTATTAATAAATGTTTAAGGATTTATCTTTTTGGTGTTTAAAACTATCTTGAAAATCAAACAAGGTATAAAACTGATCAATGTGCACGTCCTAGAAGAAGCGAAGTCAGCGGCAAAACTGAAGCATCAGAAGTCGGCATCATCCTCCCATTTTTGAAACTGTGGCCGTGTTCTTTGTTGTTGGGACTTCTGCCTGCCGCGAGCTAACGAGCAGATGCGTGGAAGGCACCGGGCACTGGGACCGCAGGTCAGCCTGGCCCGCCCTCCATTCGGGTGGCACTCACCGGGGTCTTTCTGCCTCCGCAGACTCTGCCTGCAGCAGCGCCCCCGGCTCCGGGCCCAGCTCACCCAACAGCTCCGGGAACGTCAGCACCGAGAACGGGATCGCACCTGCCGTCCCCAGCATCCCGGCGGAGGTCGGTACAAAGCGTTTGTCCCGCGTCCTGCAGCGCGAGTCGGGTTCGGGGGGCAATGTGCTTAAAATGACCCCTCCACACCTGCCCTTCACTCTGCACCTTCCCGTCTGGGGTGGGAGAAAGTGACCTGTGCACACTCTCCAGAGAAGGACGAAGTTGGAGGTTACCTCCTGCCTCCCCTTCAGCACAGACGCCTCCATTATTACGGACATGCTAGTTCCCGCCACACTGGGGACAGCCTGAGCCTGATCCTGTCTCCTGGCCTCTTCCAGAACAGAGTTCGCTAGACAGTGTCACAGCATGAACCCACCATGCATGGCAGGCGCTCTAGGCGGACAGGACCCCTGCTGCCCAGCTTGATGTGGTCTCCAGCGCCTTGCAGGTGGCTGAGAAGCCATGGGCACGTGGGTATAGTTGCTAAGTGAGACTTAACATTTTTGTTTTGTATTGAGAAATACACAACACAATGTCGGCCAGCAAACCATGTGTCAGCCGACTGGAGCGTCACCTGTGGTCAGCAGGGCAGGGCTGGCCAGAGCCACAGAACGGAGGCTTCCCAGCCTTCATGGGCGCCAGGCATCTCAGACCACAGGGCTTGGCACCCCGGTCTCCTTCTTTCATCAGACCCCAAGTAGTGCCACAGTCTGGGAAGGATGTTGCTAAGCTAGAGTGGAGTCAAGGGCGCTCTGGAGTCCCTGTGTGGGAAAGACGTCAGAGGCCCAGGAGCAAGGTACGAGTGGCACCCTGGCTGGCGGGGTCGCGCCTTGACCATACCCAGAGCCGTTCCAGGGCAGCAGGTCCCAGGACCTCACACCGTGTTCCTTGAGCTCCTTGGCGCCTCCTGCCTTTATCCCACACACGTCTCAGGCACCTTGTGCCAGGCCCAGGGACAGAGCCAGGCAGGCAGCAAGGACCCACCCCCACCCTCCACACTGTGCCCCACAGAGGAGGAGAGGCCACCCCTAGGGCACAGGGAAGAAGAGAGAGACAGTCCCACAGGCTGAGGGGTGCCCTGGGCCTGAGTGGGCCTGACCATAGGGCGGGCGTGGGAGGAGAACGCTTTGGCAGTGAGTTTTCTAATACATTGAGCGGGAATTCCTGCCTGTTTCATGGGGCAGAGTTCTACTGAGTGGGAGGTTCTTTGTGAATTCTCTCCAATTTACAAGAAGGCTATAATTTATTAAATATAGTTATTGACTTTCCTTCTTAAATATTTAGAAATGAATCCTGCCCTTCCAAAGCACTGGCAAATCTTAGCTGGGCTACAGAGGCATGAGTGTTTAGCATTTTCAGTTCAAATTTCAAGACCGTTTATGTATAAACATTTTTAGAAACTAGGGTTACTGCTAGGAATGAATTCTGCACTGCCGCCTCGAGGCTGCTTAAGCCCCATTTTCTGTCGTTCTTTTCCTTCGTACATCGATTTCTTTTATTACCTGTCTTCAGCCTGCTAACGCCAGCACTTACGTAGCTGATCAGGAGTTTGAACAGTCCTCCTCTGTGTGGCTGTGGTCATAGCTGAGGTCTGCCAGCAATAAGCCTTAGAATGCAGCCTAGAAATTACTTCTGTCCTGCGAGGTTCACACGGCTGCCTCTTGTTGACTGTGGTCCTAGATACACCTTTGCATTAAAGGGCACTTATGGACATGGCAGTTAATGTTGGAACAGTGCCGTGTTGGGGTGGCTCTGCCTCGTTCCAGCTCTGTGTTAATTTTTACAACTCCTGTGACACATAAATGCAGCCACTGGAAATTAATAGAACGTGTGGAAGGAGTTACGGGAAACTGAAGGGGTGCCACGGTTCCTGCTCCGTGTCAGATGTCCAGGTGCCCTTTATGGGTGTCGGTATCACTAGAGTTGGACCGGTCTCTGAGAACGCCCATACTTTTTTGGCCAGGGGCTGGTTCTCCATTCTCATGTGATACAGAGGCTGGTGAGCCTGCCCATCGGAGCGGGCATCTCAAGTGGATGGGGGCGTGGGGGAGCAGAGGCCTCCCAGCCTTACTCTCAGCACTGCCTTTTCTGTTCACTCCGGGCCCCCTGGAAAGACTGCCGTACCTTGAAGGTCCCCCAGCATCCAGGGAAGCCCAGCATGCCCTGCACCTCCTCCTTTACCAGGGAGGAGGCAGGGCTCTGAGAGTGAGGGGGCGTTGTCGAGGTGCTTAAGGGGACAGCTCCTCTGTGGCCGCCGCTGCTATGATTTACACGTGTGCCTCCATGCTTCGCATCAGGCCTGCGGACCTGGCCTCTGAGCACAAGTGGAGCTCCGGGTGGCCCCAGCCCCTGAACGCCTCCCACAAGGCTGGCCCCGAGACAGCAGGTGCCAGGACGCCTTGTGATTTCTCGAGTGGATCCATCGGCATCTCACGGAACACATTCTCAGAAGGCGACTTCATTTCCAGAAGTGGCTTTAAAAACCTTGCTTACAAAGGAAATCAAAACTTTGCAAACATGAGAATGTCTCCTTATTTTGTTCCCATTGTGCTTTTCTGGAAATCACAAGCATTTTCTCTACAGCATAACTTACTGATAATTCTTTAACCTTTGACCAAAAAAAAAATGTGTCTAGGAAAAATGTTTTCACCAGCCCTTTCGTCATTAGTGATACAATGTAACGTGAGCAAATCTAAAGGGAGATGCAGGGTTTTCTCTGTGGCGAGGTGCGCCGAGTTTGCCCCTAAGCGAGAAGGCTGGGTTTTCTGTTCTGTGGAAACAGCCTGAGCGTAAGTGTTTGTCAGGAGAAGCGTTTCTTCCTGTCCCCGTGGACCACTGGTGTGTCTTTTGGGAAACGTCTCTCCAGATCCTTGCCCACTTTTCTGTGGGGCAATTCGGGTTTTGCTGGTGAGTCGCTGCAGCTCCTGTGTGTTTTGGATACCGCTCCCTCGTCAGATGAAGCGCTTGCACACGTTTCTCCCTTTCCACAGGTTGTCTCTTCACTCTGGTGATTATTTTCCTTTACTGTGCAAAAGCTTTTTAGTTTAGCAGAGTCCCAGTTGTCTGTCTTCATTTTTGTTGCCTGCACTTTTGAGGTCTTAGCCATAAATCTTTTTTTTTTTTTTTTT